AGACACATTTTATGAAATATAGTGTTCCTGAGCTTCCCATTTCCTCAGCTACTTAGAGGAGTTGTCTGATTCTGAAATGCTGTGGAGGGTATTTTTTTTTCTTTTCGGGTATAAATAATTTTCTATACAGCTATAAATGCATCCTAAGAGACTAATCGTAATCCACCCAAGATGCTGGTGACCGCAGATGACACAGGATTACATTCTACAAAGGAAAAATCCTTAATATTTTACAGGATAAAAATGCAAGATTCTGTTCTAGAATCAGTTTACTTCTCAGAATTAAGGCATACTAGCCTTATCTAACAGAGTCTTTGGGAATCAAGAAATACTCCAGGGTAGGTATGTACCTAATATAAACAAATACCAATTAAAGGCCTACAGCCATTACTTCCTCAAACCCCATGTCAAAAGCCCACACTTCATCAAGGCTGGAATAGCAGTTGCAGATCCACTTAATAATACCCACATATAAAGTAACCTTTTGGCCATCTGTTTTCTTGAAATTGCCTTTCTTATTGCTCTGTCTTCATAAAGACTGCTCTGTCTTCATAAAGACACAGAGCCAAGATCCCAACTGACAGATGCCATTATATGCCATGGAATTATATATGGGGTGGCTTTGGTACGTCTTTTGTGTTCATATGCTTCTCCGGTCTCCTCCTGTTGCTGCACTTCAGTTGTGGCTTGACAGTGTGTTGGAATTTACTAATTTGTTTTTGCCTTGTGCTGAGCATTCAATAAATACCAGCATCTCTATGTGCATTTCTGTCACAGCAACTTGCTGGCCTGGATGGAATCTAATACAGAGAACAGGAAGGGCAGGGACTGGATGGTTTTCAGCTGAAAAGCCTTCTAAAGCAACTCTCCCGTTTCTTAGGAAGGTGCCCCTGTAGCTGACATCAACACTACACAGCTCTTTGTCCTCCTCTAGTGGTCCCATTATAATTAGGGAGAGGCTTACGCAGTGATTACTTCCTTCAAATTAATGTGGTCATTACTCAACTGCAAGTTGTTGAGACTTGTGCCTAGAGATCCTGCATTCAATTCTAACATGAGTGACAGTTCAGGGTTTCATCTCTCTGGTGGTCAAGGAAGTTGAAATGGGTATGTCTGCTCATCGCCAGTAGCAGCCACACAGACAACTGTGCCTTTTTGTGCCACAGTCTTCTGCTCTGAGTAGAGGTTGCACCATGGCAGGTTGTTCAAGAGCACAAAACAGTGGCATGGTCTCACTACAGCCCAACAAAATATCCTATGTTGCAAAAGGTCAGAAGCTGACTGCTTTTTTCGATAGCTTTATTGTCCCAAATACCTTGCATCAAGCATATGTTATAGCTTTTCTCTGTGTTTCCCTGCCTGACTTGCAAACAAAGAAACAGCGCAAAATCCATCTTATGTCCTGAGCTTTTCAGAAGGGAGATGCATGTCACTCTGATGCAGCACAAAACCTTAAAAGCTAATCCTTAGGAATTGACACTAAAAAGTTAAATAGCAAAAACTGAACCTAAAGGATTGTCACGAGGGGAATGTTTTCTAATGGGAAATGCTAAAATTGCTGGAACTGTTACCCACTAGAAATGCTTCCTGTGAAAACAAAAGGTTCCTACTATATAGCTCATTCTTCATATGCATGTGCCTCAGAGCTGTAATGCTTAATTAGCATTATAATATGCTAAAGATCTATTTTGCTGCTTGCATACTTTAAAATGTCTAACCCTCAAACTTTTGAAGTTATATCTTGCCCAGGAAATAAAATACAAGGACATAGCCTACATTGTGGCTATCAGAGAGGTTTGATGGAAAGATGTTATTGAAACAGAAAACAGGTATAGTAGATTTGGGTTTTTTTATTGTTCAGTGAAATTTTTCCAGGGATTTGTTATTTCTGGAATAAATGATAAATGGCAAAATGTGCCCTCTGCCGTGACTCTGGGAAACCCCCAGTTTAAAGCAAGTTGGTTGCACAGAATGCAAGGGAGCTGAATATGGCTGTCCGTTCACAACCTTTGCATGCATTTGTTCAGACATAGAAGAAAATTACTTGAGAATTCTATGGCTCCATGTCTGAGCTTAGTTGCTGGAAACCAATATCATTCCAACAGAGACAAAACTTCAGAGCAATTTATCAGTTTGCATTAGATCACCATTTACAGCAAGGTACCTGTCACATCTCAAGAGTAGTTACAAACCCAAGCTCATCTACCAGCTGTTTAGTGTTCAGCTCTCCTAAGGAATCCAAGCTGTAGCCAGAATGAGTTAGGAAAAATGTTTAGAATATTGTCATTCTGAAACCACCTACATTTTGTACAATTACTGACCAAATATTATTTTTAACATTTACCAGCTCTAGTATTTTCAGTATTTTTCTTTCTTATTAAAATGTTGACTGAAAATCAAAGCCATGGAAAGAACCATGGAGCAGGAAAATGGAGGAAGATATTTAGAATGACACTGGGTCACGTGTACAAAGTGTCTTTATACATTGCTGCTTTATTGCTTCAGAAGTTTCTTATATAAAATTCAGAGTCATTCATCCATGTCTAGGCTTCACGAACGAAGATTTAGGAAGGCTCTATCTGTGTTTGTTACAAGCATGCTGGTGGCTTATGAGGCCAATATGTGACAGACACGTCCGATTGCAAAAGGCACAGCAGAAAGACTCCTTAGGTGGTATATTCTGCAAGACGGTTCTTTCTGCATTGTCTTTTCTCCTTGACAGTCATCCTGTGTGCGTTCTCAAAGGCATCAGCAGCGTTACAGATGGTGTGTCTCCAGACCTCCTGATTGGAGGCCAGAGTAGACCAGTTATGTTGATCAATATGGCCAAGGCTGAGATGTTGTTTCAGGGAGTCCTTGTATCTTTTTTTCGGGGCTTCTCCCATGCGGCAGCCAGGGGCAAGTTCACCATAGAGCAGGATCTTAGGGAGGTGGTGGTCCTTCATCCTTGAGACGTGTCCTGCCCAACGCAGCTGCGTTCTCAGTAACATGGCCCCAATACTTGTGACTGCTGCTTGTTCTAGAACAGATGTATTGGTCACATAATCTGACCAGTGGATGTTTAGGATTGTACGGAGGCAGCGTTGATGGAAGCGTTCTAAGAGACGCAGGTGGTGGCGTAGATGACCCATGATTCGGAACCATATAAGAGAGTAGACAGCACTATGGCTCTGTAAACACTGATCTTTGTACTTTTCTTCAAGTGTTTATTACACCATACTCTTTTATGGAGTTTTCCAAAAGCACTATATGCCTTTGCTAACCTGTTGTCTATCTCCCCATCAATCTTACCATCCGAGGAGATGAGGCTACCTAGGTAATTAAACTGCTGGACTGATTTGAGCTCTGATTGGCCAATGGTGATATGGGGATGACGAAAGACTTCCTGAGGTGCAGGTTGATAGAAAACTTCTGTCTTCTTTAAGATGACTTCCTTAATAGATCAAGCTTTTGTCTATAATTTACATTCTAAAACAGTAAATATATATGTTTCTAATATACCCATTTTTGTTGTGATTTTTTTTTTTTTCAAAACAGCAAGGGTTCTCATTTTCCTCTTGCTTTTGAGAGCTGAGGATCACAGTTTGCCCTCAACTGCTCCAGTATATCAATAAGGGTTGAGCAGCAAATATTTCCCGTTTTAGAAGAATAAGGAAGGGCTTTGTTCTATCATTTCTGGTTATGAAAGGAAGAGGCAATCTCACTGCCTAATTTTGTGAGCCAAACTGGCACTGCAGAGAAGTTATAACAGGAGCCAAATGAAAGGACCCTCTGGTGCACTGACTGCAGGACAAGCACCAAGTCTACCTACTTCTAATCTGAGCAATACAGAGCATAACTAGTTAACAGGCCAAGGCCACCAAACAGCTGGGTTTATTCACTAGTTTACTTTCACTGTACCACTGCTGAGAAAAACATGCTGTTCATTTTTCAGTCCAAAGTATGCATCTCCACTTTGTGCTGGAAACATGTCAAAGTGACCCCACTCTGCTTTCTAGTAAATGCACGGGATCATTGGATAAGGATGTTTTATTCTCCCCATTTACTTAAGGTCACGTTCTCATCTTGGGTAAACTGCTACAGCTGGAGTAATGACAGCATGAGACATGAGTACTGTCTAGGTCTTGGGAGGCACTGCAGAATGTCTAATCCAGCTGCTGCTCTCTCCTGAAAAGGATGGCTAGAGGAGGCTCACAATCACAGCCTCAGCTTCATTACGAGCACACTAGCCAGGCATCCATGGCAAGTGAAAAGCTGAAAGAAATCACCTTCTCCATTCCCCTGTGAGCAAGAGAAAAATCCCGGAACAGGTTATGGTTCTGTGAGCCACATGCATTTCCCTGTTCAGAGTGTGATTAGCCCACAACTCTTGCCCAGGGACTGCAGCAGAGGTAAAATAAAAACAGGAGCATAAAACCTTTTATGACTAAGGAAACATAAAAATATGTAATCAGTGGGAACTACTGTACACAGGTTTGATTTTGTGATGAATCAACTACCTAGTTTCTAACAAGAGCCAGATGGAGTTGCAGTTCTCCCCCATTTCCCAGAATCAGGCCCTTTGTTGGCAGTTGTTCATATACAGCTGCTATATAGCATAGTTCTGATTTCTTACACTATGGAGACCTCTCCTCAAAGTCAATTAGCATTATGCCTGGGCAAATATTGCAGGATCAGGCTGCTCATTAAAGCCCTGGGACCAAAACTGCCTCTATTTTAATTTTGTAATATATCAGTCAAGGATACACAATTATCCGTGGAGTACTTCTGAAATGGCCAAGGTCACATGAGGATTTTATCATATTACTGCAGTGCACCATCTTCCTTGCCAGCCCATTGCTGTTCTGCTACAGACTGTATTACCATGCATCAGCAAATACATGAGCATGCTGCTATATTTAGTGTTTTATATATACCACTAAAATAGAGTATGTGTCAGCTTTTAATCTGACTTCAAATTTTTGTCAGCAAAGTAAAGGCTCATTTTCCCTACCAGTGATGAAGTGTGCTCTGTGTTAGTCATCTTGAGCTATGTGGTGATAACTTTAAAATACATTAGACAGCTAGAATGCTCAATCTGAGTACAATGTTTTTCACTCAGAAATATACTAGAAGATAGTAAGGATCCAAAGCATCAGTCAGCCAGCTACGAATATGGATTGCCCCAGGTGACCTACAAACCCAGCAGCAATCTGATGGCAAGAGGAGCAGCTAAGCAAGTATGCTGGTTTAAAGGTAAACCAGCAGGGGAAATGAACCCATCGCAAAAGAGAAATTATAAGTCAGAATAACAATTTAATAAAAATAATACAATAAATACAATTACACAGACAAACAATTGGTTTTAACCCACAAAACCCAGATGTATAACTCAGCACCCTGGGGCATGAACAGAGTAGTGTTCATTGGGCCCCCCTCCCACATGCTGAGCCCCACATGGTCCCCCTGAGTCCAAAGTAAAAGGAGAGGGAAAACCTGTTGGTGAGAGTGCTGGTTGCAGTCCAGTTGAGGGTGGTGATCGCAGTCCAGTTGGGAGTGCTGTTGCAGTCTGGTCGAGAGTGCTGTTGCAGTCCAGTCGAGAGTGGTGGTCGCAGTCTGGTTGAGAGTGGTGGTCGCTGTCCAGTCCAAGTTCTGGTCCTTCTCTGGATCCCACAAGTGGTACTGAAGTCCCAAGACCTCAAGATTATATATCCTCAGGTTCAGGCAGGAATGCCCAGTACCTCCCTCAGGGCAGGGAGTTCCACAGTGAGTGTGAGGACAGGAGCATCCTCCTATCTCACAGGCCTCTTAACACCCAGTTTATAGCCTGAGGGGTCAGGCGTGCTCTGGGCAGTTGCTGTAAATGGTCTATTGATAACAGTTTCTGGGAAATGGCATGGAAGGGTATAGAATACACAGTTTTGGGTTACACCTACACAGTGATGAGCTGGTCCCAGCTGGTCTAACTAGGACAGCAAGGTGTTCTCTGGGGTGCCACAGCAGACAATTAGGATGTCCTGTGTTACAAGTGCAGAATACAGATAGGTGGTGCAGACTGCATTTGGTGTTATGTACCTGGCAGTATGAGAAGAAAAGCATTGATGATGATGACTTGAACAGAGTGGTCTATTGCATGGCCATGGGACTGGGGAAGTCCTATTAATGACATCATCTATTAATGGCAGCAGGAATGTGGTTTAATGGTTGAAACCACAGTTAACACCAGGATTGCCATATTCCTTCTCAAAGAAAGTAGGGTTCAGTGGATGAAGCAGCTGTTTTCACAGGTCTTGGTAAAGCCATAGAATATTTTTTACATATCCATAACACTTGCTTATTAATGCCATCACATACAAGCAGTACAAGTGTGAATTGCCTTCCTGTCTACAGCTTCTACAGAAAGTCAGCAAACAACTTGCTAACCTACAGGCCAAAGGTAAGCTTGTCCATGGGAAAACCAGCTTTTCCACTCCAAACTGCTCATCCTCTCTTGTTACTGTCCCTTGCACTTTGCTAACTACATCTTAAAGGGTGTGGGGGCACCACACTTGCAACCTGGGTATAAGTCGTAATAACTTTGCATTTATCTAGTAGTGTGCAATTATATAAATGTCCAAGTCTTCGTGGAACTCCAGTCTAACCCAGGGCTGTCCATACCAGCCCCATGATGCTGTGGTAGGGCTGTTCTTTGCCACAGTGCTGCCCAGCCATGTGACCCAACCTGCAGACTGACATCCCATCCCATCCTTGGTCCATCCCTGTCCCCAGGCCTCATCCTGTAGCTGTGTCTGACCTCTGTTCCTGGAATGGTCTCCCCCAGTCCCCAGGGAGCCATGCTGCATCCTGTCACTATTAAAGAAAATAGAAAGCAGAATAAATTCATGCCTCAAGAGTCACATCATACCATTATTTAATTCTTTTTCTAATGGTCAGAACATCGTTAATTCCAGTGCACGCACTGATATAAGTAACAGTGTTATTACATCTGGAAATAACAGCACAAGGCCTGGCTAGAATGCAGTGACACTGCCGGCAATACTTCCAGTGAGGTTCCCTGGCGTGGCAGGGTGGTCCATACAGCTGCGGCTTTTCTTAGACACATTTCAGGTATCCTGCTTAACATATTGTGAGGCACCCACTGCAATTCCAGGTAGGGGAAGCCCCAAAGTATGCATTTATTTGACGAAAACAAAATAAATAAGATGCAAGCAAGAGAGAGAACAACACTCCAAAAGGTGGGATTTTTTTTCCCTTTCACAAACAAAAATGGTTTACATGGAGAACAACTAGAAGCTGAGGACAGCCCAGCCCTGTGGAAAGTGCTGCAGAAGTACCCAGCCCAGCTGCAGCAGCTCTGAGCTGCCCTGTGCATCCCCAGCTCCTTCTAGGATGGTGTTAGAAGTGTTGTTTGGTGGGGAGGGCAGGGTACTGTCCCACTCTGACCCAGCAATACTCCAAGAAATAACTCTTTTGGCCCTTGAGAGCTCTAGTTTGACAAAGCTTTTCCCAAGACAGAGGTCAGAAGAAGAAATTACAAAAGGGAATGAGAAAGAAGTGAGGATATAAGGGGAAAACGGTGCAGAAAATGAACTTGAGTAGAACAGTGTGTGGCTGATACAGGCAGATATGGTTTTCTTGTCGTGCAAGAAATTCCAAAACAGAAAAAAATTTCTTATGCAGAAAACACAGAAAATATCTGAAATGTTTAACAATTGCAAATCTGGACATAACCCTTCTCCCTCAGTTCAAGACATAGATTTGGCCTTTCTTGTAATTTAAATCATGTTTTCTTGTTCTCTCTTTTTTTTTCTTAATATTTTAATGTAACAAATTTCAAAGCCAAAAGTTTCTAAGTCAAATAAAAATCTAAACATCTCACTTTGAAAACTTAAATCTTCTCATGTTGAGACTTGTGTGCCTATTTTACATAAATGATCTGAAACAGAAATTAGTGGATGCTAACCTTTCCTGTAAAATGGTTCTGTTTGAAGAAATAGGCATTTTCTGTCAGAAGTATTTTAATGATCAATTTATTACCAGCTCTATCATATGCTGGATTTCTATGATTAAAGTTCCACCTCAGTGACCAAACTGTGTCAGAAAATGACCTGTCATTCTTCTTCCATGCCTGCAGTCATCAGATCTTTAACCATCATGGTCTACTGTTAAGATGGGTGCTAAAACTTTATCTCTTTTAGTGACAAAATTAATATTATCATAAAAGTAAAGCATTTCAAAAATCAATCATACTATCAAATGGGAGCACTTCTAAAATAATTAGTTTTAACTAAAATATATGTGCCATTTATGTGTTTTCTTTATAAAGCAAGCCTTTGGTGGCACAGAGTGGTTTTGGTCCAAGCAATGAACACAATTAAAGCAATTGCTCAATCAATCTCAGAACTTATGAAATTTGTTTAGCTTTGGAAAAGCACAGGCATGTGTTTCATTGGCAATTACCATCATGGAATAAATCCACATCCAACTCATAAAGCAGAAAAAGTTAGAGTGTACACAGCTTGAATGAAAATACTTATATTTACACTACACTCACCAGCCTTCATATGTTGTTGACTTAATTTTAAGTACACGAGGTGGTATTGCCTATGGAGACCTGAGTTTTCTAAGCCAGGGTTTCTGGCATTTTGCTAAGCCACCACGTTTGCCAGCAGAGCCACTGAATCAGTGACATTGGCTACAAAAGGCTGCGTTCATCAGATTCTAAGCAAGTTAAGGGTGGCCCTTGGAATGAACTGAGGATGCAGTTTAGATCAGAGACAGATGCAAGAAGAAATCACTGAGTGAGTAAACTGGCTTAATCTAGTCCTTCAGGCCAAAATAAAGATGCGAAGTCATCTAGGGACAGAGGGATAATTACAACAGTGAAGTGCAATTGCTTTCTTTTTAATTGACACACACTGCACACATATCGACTAACAAAACAGAAATACCAGTCAGAAATGGGTGACTCCAGAGGTCAGTTGGTTTATGACCGAAATATTTCTAGCTGGCAAAGGCTTTTGTGAGAATGAGGATTCCCTTAGACTTTGGGGACATTTCTTTTTGCAAAACTGTTAGGTTCTTATTAAATTCCGGTAACTCACATTCTGTGAAGCAGTTTCTTTTCTCTATATTTCTTAATTGTGCTTCATTACAATTTAATAAGGACATTTACTCTCAATTAAGCAAATCATCCAAGCAGTTTCTTACGCCCATTGCAATTAATTGGTTTTGTCAAATGCAGGTTTAATTGTGTGTTAAGTATCTTGCTGAATCAGGATCTGTGTGTGTATATATGTCTATCCAAACCTTTCTTTAGCTCCTAGCATGTTAATGTACATGCAGTTCAGGGTATCTGAATCTTTAGCTCCACTAACTGCTCTGATCTTGGCGCCTCCCTGAAACTAAATAATTTCTCCATAACGGTAAAACTCACTAATGCTTTTAATGTTGACAAGTGCATTAACCAGCTACTGAGCTCCTGTTAAAGGGGAAATCAGGCATTGACCCTGCGACTGGGGACAAGGCCCAGGGGGTTGTTACATTTTTTGAAAAATCTTCCTCTGTAATGAGCCTCTTCACCAGATTTAGTTGCTGTGTGATCATTGAACCAGAAAAAGCTCTGAAGCGCACCTCACCTCGACTCACCTCACACTCCCCAGTGCCATGGCAAGACCTTTAGTCCCACTCTGACACCAATAACAAATGCTTGAGTTTATCCCTGTTATTTCAGAACACACCTTGCAAGGTGTAAGTCAAAAGGTGATGATCAGCTTTCCTAAGAACCACCTAAATCCTACACCACTAGGCCATGAACAGCAGTATAGAAGTGATCATTGCAACTGCACTAAATACCTATATGACAGCAGAGACTCCTGTGGATCCTCCATCAATACATGCATGGTTATACGAGACACCAAGAACATTTCAAGAAGTAATGTAGGCTTACCTGCTTCTTCCTTGCCTGGCTTCTGAAACAGCATCTGCAAGAAAGTGATTTTTCTTTAATAATTTACATTTTTTCCTTCAAATA